ACAGAAGTTACACAGCAACTCATTTTCCAAAAGGTTGCTGTCGTTCGTACACCCCGACCCCCATCAGCTAGTCGGAGTCGGAGTAGGCCGTGTCCCTGATGCGCTTGCTCTGGGACTCGAGCTCATCCAGCGCAGATGTCATCTGGTTGTACTTGTTCATCTCCGAGTGGAAGTCCACGCCGTCGCCGAACGCGAGCGTGGAGCCCACTGACACTGCGCTCTTGATCTCCTCGTACTGGTTCACGACCTTGTCCACCTGATCAATCGAGCGCTTGAGCTTGCCGCGGAACTTCTCCGACCGAGCCCAGTCCATGGATGGTTGCGTGTCGATCCTCTCGAGCAGATTCCTCGCGACGTTCATCGCCATGCCGTAGCGCAGGGTGACGTCTGTGGCGTGCTTGGCCAGCGACTTGGCGGTGGGTGGCGGTGAAGCCTTGGCGGCCTTGCTCTTGCCCTTCGGCTGTGCCTTGCCTTTGGCCTTGGCCTTGCCGTTGTGAGGCTTGGCCTTGCCCTTGGCTGTGACTGGAGTCGGCGTATCCACAGCTGTGCAGGGCCCTGGTGCAGGCGTCGGTGCAGGCGTCGGTGCAGGCGTCGGTGCAGGCGTCGGTGCAGGCGTCGGTGCAGGCGTCGGTGCGCCGCTCCCGCTGCTCCCGCTGCCACGCGCCATGTTCCGCTCCTCCTCATGAGAAGCCCACTCGTCACGTGTGCCATGGCGCTCCTCGTCGATCCGCTTCTTGAACTCGATCCGATTCGAGTCGGGGTTGATCCTCACGAACCTGGGCCCCTTCTTCATCGCGTTGAGCGCGATGCTCCTGCATCCTGCCATCACAGCTCGGCTCGGGAACGCACCACCTCCTTGCTCCTGGACGAGCATGTCGAAGTTGAACCAGCGGTAGATGGCCTGCTCGCTCTTGATGGTCTTCTGCACCCTCGTGCGGTAGTCCTCGGGGATGCAGTTTGGAATGCGCAATTGTGTCCCGTCGCAGCCCTCCTCCTCAAACTCATCCTCTCCCTCCTACACCTCCTCCTCCTCCTCCTCCTCCTCCTCCTCCTCGTCTTACTCATTATACTCTTCTTCCTTATCCTCCTCAGCCTCATCCTCATCACCGTCGTCCTCCTCATCCTCATCATTCTCCAGTTGGACTGTGATTGTAGTTATGACCCCATCTCCGTGTAGGTGTCGTACTTCTTCATCGCCCACTGAGACCGCCGCGATGCCTTCTCGTCGCGGTCGAGAGCGTCGTACCGCTGCTTCTCCTCACTGTTGTTCAGGGGCCATAGGTAGAAGCGCTTGTACATTGGCGCGCCTGACTCCACTCGAAAGCCCTCGCCAGCGATCGTCTCGAGGACTGGGTCACGTTCATCTTCGAGCTTCTGCCTCAGCGCCGCCATCTCAGCAGACTCAACTGCATCATCTGGTGCATCAGGCGTCGTGCCCTCGGCGGGCTGCGAGGCCATCATCAGCCTGAACGCCTGGGTGAGCTCCGTCTCAGTGCACGGCAGGTCGGTCTGCACGGAGCAGTGCATGGGGTTGGCGGCGGTGCCCATGTTAGCCTGGACGACACAAGCAGGCGAACCAGGAAGGCGATACATGGAAGAATAGTGGGAACATTAATTAATACTTGCACGCCACATGGCCTGCATGACGGGCCGCATGCGCGCCGTCTCCGCGCGCTCGACCTCCAGCGCCTTCGCCATCCCCTCGAACTTGGTGCCGATCAGCTCGTTGAACTCGATACCCTCGCCCGTGGCCTGTCGGCGGATGGTAGTGGGGCAATGAGGCGTCGGGCCACCCCCATCTCATCCTCCCCAACCGAGTGGGGGTGGGAATGAACTGGGAACACCGATGCGAACATAACGAGGTGGGTCAACGGGGGGGGGGGGGGTGGCCAGCATGATAGGACGAAGTTGGTGTGTGCGGGGGGGGGGGTTCAGCATAATGCGAAAGCAATGCAATGTTCTGTTAGTTTTTTTCTGGGCGCGCCGTAACCTGAACGGTCCATGTTTGACAAACGTCTGGCAGCTTCCTTCGAGCTAGCCTTCGCACGATCGTGAGCGCTTCCCGAAACTTCCCGAAACTTCCCGAAACATCCCGAAATTTCCCGAAACCATCCCGTGAATGTCCCGTGGGATCCCCGTGGACTCATCGTAAACATGGTGCGGGTTTCCTCAGGCGTCCTTCAGACCCCCTGTGCGCCCACAGCCCGATCTTTGCGGATGTGAGTTGCCGATGCCATACGTATATACACCAGGCTATTAATCGAACATGGGCGGTGCCTCAATGGTCGGCCTCAGGGGTGGGCTCTCCTCTACAACTGCACCCGCCTTCCAGCGAGGCGGCGTGGTGCGATTGCCGTCGGGAACCTTGCCGTCGAGCACCGCGTGGTCCGCGCCGATGGCGCCGTCGCTGGGCGCGGCCGCTGACGAGCTGCCGCCAGCTGGCGTAGGCGAACTGGCCGATGCTGGCCTCTTCACGACCTTGGACTTCATCATCTTCATGTAGTTGTACTTGATCTTCTCCTTGTTCTCGTGCACCTGCTCCCTCGTCAGCACGCCGTCGCAGTAGCGCTTCGCCAAGTCGTTCGCCCACGTAGCAGCGTAGAGCTCCAAGTCCTTCAGCTCTGAGGGGGGCTGACCTGCCTCCTGCCACCACTGGGTGTCACCCTGCGTGAGCTGGTCCTGACCGTGGACGCGGGCGGCGATTAGCCTCTGCTCGGGCTTCCCTTTGGGCCTGTTCCAGCGGAAGAAGCACCACACTCTGTTGCCATCCTTGTCCACGCCGTCGAACAGGTCGATGCCGTTCGGGTTCGACGTCTTGCTGGGGATGGTCTTGACACCTGTCGCATCGTGACCATCAGGGGCCTTGACAACTCCGTGGATCGCGTCCCACTTCTTCACTGTCATCTGCAGAACCTCCCTCCTCATGCCATCAGCCCACACCGCGATGACCGCATCCTCGGGATTGGCACCGTGTGGTCGTTCAGTTCGAATTGCCATCTCTGGTGGCGTGCTGGTCGGAGCAGTCGTGGGCTTCCTTACAGCGAGCCGTGATTCCTTGTCCCAGCTGAACACGTAGGCCGTCTCGTGATCGCCATCGAACGTGGCGCTGGGCTTCTTCATGAGGGCGGCGTCGGAGCTGGCGGGCTTGCCCACGACCACGTCCTTGGCAGCTGGCTTGCCTCTCCGTGCCTTCTTCGCGACTGGTGGCTCCTCGTCCTCGTCGTCCTCCTCGGGTTCGCACACGGGCTCCTCCTCTTCTCCTTCTTCATCATTGTCGTTGTCCTCGCCAGCACCACCTCCGCGGTCACCAAATAGAGCAACGAACCATTGCGGTGGGGAAGCCCGTCCGCGATACACAGCGATGTGCCTGCACATGGTTCGGAACCGTCGGCCTGTCGTCTCACTCCATTCGGTCAGCTCCGCAGCGTCTCGGAACGATATGTGGTTGGTCTCGGCAACGCTGCGCAGCGACGGCTCCACGTCGCTCTTGTTGAAGTGCAGGTCGTCACTGAACTCCTCTGCAGAGCTGCGATAAAAACGCTTTGTGTTAGTGTTACCCCCCATGTGACCACATTAATGAACGCGATGACGGGTGGAGATCATCGCGGCGATAATGATATGGACTAACGAGACGATAATGGTTGCATTGATGTTGGCGATGACGATGATGACGATGATGATGAGGCTCAGCATGATGGTGATATTGATGTTGATGTCATTGGATATGTGTGTGGGGGGGGCTGGTGCACAATTAGAGGGGGGGCTATGACGGGAACGTTTGAATCGCAGTGTCCGTCAGCAGCGCATTGAACAGCGGAGCCTGCTCTCGAATCTGTCGCTTGTCGATCTGCGATTGCTTGATGTTCTCACCGTATGTGATCCACGTGGCTTTTCTCACGAACTTGGAAAAGATACTCGTGAGCTGCTGACGTTTGGTATCAGACATGCTGCTCGTGTGCAGCCATCGCACTCGGACCGAACAGCTACGTACATAGGGTTATGACGTAGGTGGTCAGGCCAGGGCGGTGCACGAGACGGACGGCGACGGCTCTGACGACGAACCACAAAGAATGCGAAGACGGGCAGGAGGAGGAGGAGGAGGATGCGAAGTACGGGGGCGAGGAGGAGGAGGAGGAGGAGGAGGAGGAGGATATGAGGAGGCGGATGAGGAGGAGGAAACTAATGAGGAGGAGGATGCGAAGGAGCAAGAGGAAGACGGCCCATGGAACCATTACACGCAACACCCCAAAATTGCGGATACGAGCGAGGGTGACGTCGGCAGTCCGCGAGATTCTGGAGAAGCCCGCCGCAGGCGCCAAACTTTCACAACATATACAACGAGCGATCACTAGGCGCACATTTGTTCGTTAAAAAATGTGGGTAGGTCGCGGGTGGGTCGCACATGTGTCGCGGGTGGGTCGTTGTTGGGTCGCGGGTGGGTCGCGGGTGGGCCGCGGGCGGGTCGCAGGGATTTTCGCGGGTGGGTGGGTGGGTAGCGGGTGGGTCGCGGGTGGGTCGCGGGGTGGGTCGCGGGGCGGTCGCGGGGTGGGTCGCGGGGCGGTCGCGGGGTGGGTCGCGGGTGGGTCGCGGGGTGTGTCGCAGGTGGGTCGCGGGGTGGGTCGCGGGGCGGGTCGCGGGGCGGGTCGCGGGGTGGGTCGCGGGGCGGGTCGCGGGGTGGGTCGCCCGTGTGACGACGACAACACACAACGCCAGCCTAACACCGCAACAAGCAGAATCCACACCACGGATCCCCATTCCAGCTACGAGCCCACGGACAATGAATGGCCGTTCGGCCTTCTCATTCTGACTACTACCACTGCCACTACCACTACCACCACCACTGCAGCTACGATGAACACTAACAATGTCACACAGTAGCAGAGGTAGTAGCGAACACTAGTGGCCGTGGCCTTGGCAGGACTAGTGGTCGTGGTAGTGGCAGTGGTAGTTGCAGGTGCGTAGTATCAGTCTACTGATATACCCTTGTACCCGCTTCGGGCCTGCCGATCGGGATCTGCGGCGGCCACTGAATGGTCGCCGTGCTCAACTAGTGCAGCAGCTGACCGCCTGAAGTCCTGGTCTCACCAACGTGCCATGCCCATTCTCATCCTCCACCGCACCTCGGAATTCCGTTCACCTCCCACCCGTTGATCGGCTCTTTGTTATGGCTTCGTGATTTGGCGGTGGGAGTTTCACGTTCGAACGCGGCCTGATCCAGCGCGACAGGGCTGTGGATCAGGGCGCGTTCGAACGTGGAATTCCCGCCGCCAAGTCACACATGCGCGCGAATGGGCCGAGCAACGGGCTGAAGGCGAACGGAATTCCGATGATTGTCGACGTGGAGGGGGCGAGGAGGGAACAGTGCAGGACGAGGAGGGGGAGGGGGGGCGACCGACGATGTAAGTGGGTGGGTTGGGCACAGACGGGCCAGTATGTTTTTTCTCCATCCCCCCATGCATCATTCAATGTCTCCCATTGGATCCTCCTCGATCTGTGAAGCGGTCGGCGGCGGCAGCGCGTCTGGGAGCGAGGGGGCGGTCTGGGAGTCTCGAGCGGTCAGCTGCACGGACTCGGTGACGTCGGCCCGCTCGGCGGCCGCGGCGGCCGCCGCAGCGGGCGCCGCAGCGGGCGCGGAGGGCTCCTGGAGGGGCGCCTCGTCGGACGAGATGGTCTCATGATCAGCGGGCTCGGCAACCTCTGGAGGCAACCAAACTCAAACACTCGGGACCATCGTGGGGGAACCTGGGGCCATTGATTTTGAATCGCACCTGTTGGTGCGGAGCGTCAGCCACGGACTGCGTAAATGGGACCCACCGCACAGGCAGCGTTCGTTGACCCTTCTCCGTCGGTGTCGGACTCCTCTGGTCCATCTTGAGCTGTTTCTGTTAGCCGTGTTTTAGGGATGAGGAATGAGCAGTGTTTCTGTTAGCCGTGTTTATGTTAGCCATGTTTCTGTTAGCAGTGTTTCTGTTAGCCGTGTTTTGTTAGCCGTGTTATAGGAATCAACAGGGCTCAGGGAATTGCAAACGGTGTCCTGGGAGCTCGGAGCTGGTTGCGACATGCCTCCAGCTGCGCGTGGACGCGTCCGAGGGTCGGGGATCGCCTGGGCGATGGGGCTTCGAACCAGAGCGGCGGCGCCAGCAGAGGGGGAGCCGCGCCAGTAGACAGGTATGGAAGACTATGGATAGGGAGAACGGATGGGGAGGAAAAGAGGGCGGCGGTGTGGATGGAGAAGATTTGGGCATTCCTGGAAACCTTTGTCTGGATTCCTATACATCCCGCGGACATCCCGAATCTTCCCGAAACTTCCCGAAAGTTCCCGAAAACTTCCCGCAATCTTCCCGCAATATTCCCGCGATCTTCCCGAAACTTCCCGAAACTTCCCGAAAACTTCCCGCAAACTTCCCGCAAACTTCCCGCAAACTTCCCGCAAACTTCCCGAAACTTCCCGAAAACTTCCCGCACACTTCCCGCAAACTTCCCGCAAACTTCCCACAAACTTCCCGCAAACGTCCCGTAAACGTCCCGCGACCCGCCTTCCTGCACATTCTATCGTTATCTGTAGACATGCAACGACACTGACCAATATAGAAAAGGTGAAAAGGTGAAAAGGTGAAAAGGTAACTGAAAAAAGGTGAAAAGGTGAAAAGCGAACTTGCGGGTAAAAAGGTAACAAAATACTAGTTACCCAAAAAGTGTGCTAAGTGACCTGTGGGATGGGGCACAACGTCCCAAATCGTGAAATCCTCCGGATGGTCGTCTGTCGTCGTCACGGAGCGTAGATAGGATATTCGATAATATCGAAACCACGTTCCCTTCTGGCCTCGCGGGCCTCATCTCGACAGTGGCAGGATCCTCCGGATGGCCGTCTGTCGCCCTGGTCACCACGGCAGGATCCGCTTCTAAATTCTGCATTCCTGGTCCCGTGGCGGAAGAGGTGCCGATGTGGGACACAAGGTCCCAGATCATGTAATCCTCCGGAGCCCGCGGGGTCTTGCACGCCCGAGTCGCTCTGGACCGCCTCCTCCACCTCCTCCGGCCCGTCCGCGATCCCATCCTCCACGAACGTGTCCTCGCCTCCCCGGCAGCCAGCTCCGCAGCCAGCGCCAGCTCGCCGACGCCCTCCCAGAGGGCGGCCCGCGCCGCCGCTGCGGCGGCGGCAGCGCAAGCACAGGCGGCGGCCGCGGCGGCAGCGCCCGGCGTGCCAGCTGCGCCACCAGCGCCGACGCCAGCGGCCGCGGCGGCAGCGGCGGCGGCGCCCGGCGGGCAGGGCGCGGGGCGGCCCGGGCGGGCGGCGCCGACCAGCCCGAGGGCGTCGGCAGCGCCTGGAGCCCAGGCTTGGGTGGGCAGGCGGCCGGACCGGCCCTCCGGATGCCCGGGGGCGTCGGCAGCGCCAGCAGCGCGGAACGGCGCAGGCGGCGCCCGACGGCGCGCGGGACGCGGCGGGCGCCCCGCGGGGGCGGCCGGCGCCATCGCGTCGGCAGCGCCAGCAGGCCGCCGGGGGCCCGCGCCGGTGGCATCAGCCGCCCGAGAGGCGGCGGCGGCGCCGACGGCGCCCGCAGGGCGCGGGCCAAGGGCGCCGGGGAGCCCCGGCGGCGCACCGGCGCCGTCCGCGGCAGCCAGCCGGAGGGCCGCAGCGTCGCGAACCTGCCGCCGCCGGCGGGCAACAGGGGTCTCCGGGGCGCCCATGCCGAGGCGGCGGCGGCGGCGGAGGCGCGCGGCCCGGCCGCGCCGCCCAGGCCGCGCCGGCCAACCTCGAGCCAAAGCGGCTTGAGCCAGGGGGCTACGGGCCAGCGCCCGAAACAAAGGGGCGCCGAAAACCAAAGAGCGCCGACAACAAGTGGGGCGCCGAAAACTCACGGGGGCGCCGGAAACCAAAGCAACGCCGAAAGACACAAGGGCGCAAAAAACCATAAGGGCGCGGACAGCCAACGGGGCGCCGAGAACAAACGGAACGTCGAACACCAAAGGGCCGCCGAAAACAAGAACGGCGCCAAACACCAGAGGGCGCTGAAAACCCAAGGGGCTCCGAAAGCCCAGGCGGGCGCCGAAAACCAAACGAGCGACGAAAACCCAAAAGGGCACCCAAAACCAAACGGGCGCCGAAAACCAAAGGAGCGCCGAAAACCACAAAGGGGCGTAGAAAACCAAAGGAGAGCCGAAAACCAAAGGGCTCCGAAAACCAAAGGGGCGCTAACAACCAAAAGGGCGCCGAAAACCAAAAGAAGGCCAAAAACCAACAGGGTGCCGAGAACCAAAGGGGCGTTTGACACCAAGAGGGCGCCGAAAGCCAACGGGGTACCGAAAACCACAGGAGCACCGAAAACCATAGAGGCGCCGAAAACCCAACGCACGCCTAAAACAAACGATGCGCCGAAGAACTCGAGGGGCACCGAAAACCAAAGGGGCACCGAAAACCGAAGGGGCGACGAAGACCGAGGAGGCAGCGAAAACCAAAGCGCCGAGAAACCAAAGGGCATCGGAAAATAAAAAGCGCCGAACACCAACCGGGCCAGCGCACAAAACAAAGGGGCGCCGAAAACCAAAGAGCGCCGACAACCAATAGGGGCCCGAAAACTCACGGGGGCGCCGAAAACCAAAGCAACGCCGAAAAACACAGGGGCACCAAGAACCATAAGGGCGCGGACAACCAACGGGGCGCCGAGAACAAACGGAGCGCCGAACACCAAAGGGCAGCCGAAAACAACAACGGCGTCAAACACCAGAAGGGCACCGAAAACCAAAGGGGCTCCGAAAACCCAAACGGGCGCCGAAAACCAAACGAGCGACGAAAACCCAAAAGGGCACCCAAAACCAAACGGGCGCCGAAAACCAAATGAGCGCCGAAAACCACAAAGGGGCGTAGAAAACCAAAGGAGCGACGAACACCAAAGGGGCGCCGAAAACCCACGGGGCGCCAACAACCAAAAGGGTGCCAAAAACCAAAACGGGCGCCAAAAACTAAGAGGGTGCCGAAAACCAAAGGAAAGCCGAAAGCCTATAGGGCGCCGAGAAACAAAGGGGCGCCGAAAACCATAGAGGCGCAGAAAACCAGCAAGGCGCCGAAAACCAAAGGAATGCCGAACACCAAAGAAAGCCGGCAACCAAGAGGGCGCCGAAAACCAAAGGGGCACCGAAAACTCAAAGAGGCGCCGAAAACCAAGAAGGGCGGCAAGAACCAAGAGGGCGCCGAAAACCAAAGGGGCGCCCGAAACCACGAGTGCGCCGAAAAGCAAAGTGGCGCCGAAAATCAAATGGGAAAGGTAGCTTCGAGGCCCCCCCTTCAGCTCAAGCTCTCCAGCTCGAAATGCCAACAGAAGGGAGGAAAGGTAGCTTCGGACCCCCACCCACCCCTTTGGAAAGGAGAGCCCGGTCTTACCCCGGGCCCCGACTGGGTGGGGAGGAGGAGAGGGTAGCTTCCAAGCCCCTCCCCCCCTCCTCGCTTCACCAGGGCAGGGGGTGGGTAACTTCGGAAGTCCCCCCCCCACTGGAAAGGGGAGCCCAGACATACCCCGCACCCGGAAAGGAGCGGGGCGGGGCTTCGGAAGACCCCACCCTTTTCACCCTGGAAGGGGGGGGGGGCAGGCTTACCCTGCGGCCGGAACAGGGAGTGATGGGGGTGTAGCTTTCCAGCCCCCCCCCCTTAGCTAGGACCCCCCCCCAGCGAAAAAATGCCGACCCAAGGGGGGAGGGGGGGAAGCTTCGGAAGCGCCCCCCACCTTTTCCAAGGGAGGGGGGGGGGAGCTTGAAGCTGGGGCCCCCCCTTTCATACTCCTGGCCCTGCGTGGGCGCTCTGTCATACATGTATGTGTATATATGTATATATATATACATACAGAGAGAGAGAGGGAGAGAAGGAGAGAAAGACAGAAAGAGAGAGAGAGAGAGAGAGAGAGAGAAAGCGAGAGAGAGAGCGAGATAGAGAGAGAGAGAGAGAGAAGAAAGGAGAGCGAAGGAAGGATGGAGAGGGAGAGGGAGAACGGAATGACAAGAAAGACATCATGCCGGACAGCACGCCGCCTTCCGAATATCACATCCCCTCCATTCTCCAAGTCATCACGCCCCTTCATACTGAAAGGTAGGCGGGCATCCTGGCCTCGCTGACGACTGCTGGAATATGACAAATCATTGGAAAATCTGGGTGGGGGCAGGGGCACAAGATCTTGCATGCGCAGCCGCGTGCATGTCCACGAGATTATGCGGCCACGTGCACCATTTGGTTGCGTCTCCCCACAAGGCCAATACAATCACGACAGTTCGACGCAACCCGACGCCCCTCGGAATGTGATGCTGATGCTGCTGCTGATGATGATACCGTTGTCCGCAGGCTGTGGTAGCACCAGACACCAGCCCCAAAAAAGAACAGGCTGGTGGTGGCACAACAACGGTACGATGTGATGGTACCAGGTGGGACTGCTGTCAGACTGTCGGGCGCCACGAGGCGCAAGGCTGTGTCAGCGCAGGACGAGTGTCTTCGAGCGCGGTCAGAAGCGAGCTGCACCGACAGCGGAATCCAGACCGCGATGCTGCTAAATACACATGGTAGCGTCTCCCCACAAGGGCAACGTAGTGCCGACAATTAAACGCCACCCGACGCCCCTCGCAATGTGATGATGCTGCTGCTCATGATGATACCCGTTGTCCGCAGGCTGT